GTAATTATAACTCAATTTCTTTCTATTAATTAACTTATGTCACTAACTAAAATAGATATTTCGAAAAATAAAGAAAGATGTGTAATCTCCTATAAAGAATCTAATGGCTAAAAGTTACATTTTAAAAGCCTACACTTAACTTAAATGACCTATCATCAGTGATCATCGGGCGGAACGGATGGGCTTCTTTAAAAATATCCCTAATTCGGCATCTCTAGCGTGCAACCCCAGCGGATGATGACGAATTTTATTTGGGACGGCGGTGTTATCTATTCAGCGGTTCAAGAAAGTAGAGGGAAGGTAGAGGATGTGCCATCCTCTCCCCTGTTCGAAATCGAATTGGCGTTGTCAATTAGTGTAAGTATAGTAAGTGATATGCTCATTCCGTTCCGTTCTTACCTATAGTATACAGCATCCCTGCGATAGTCACAAGAGAATGACAAACGGCTTGCTGTAAAAGAAAATGAGAGGAAATTCTACTTTATATACGTAGGAATAACTTATAACTACGTGTAGAAACAAAATAAGCCTTGCGACTTTGTACACATTAATAAGTAACATTATACATATATATACATAAAAGTTTTTATATCATTAAATTGTTTAATAAGATGCCAAAATTTTTGCGTTTAAGATAATTAAATCCAACTTACATTTGAAAGCGTTTGAAATTTTATTTATTTCCTCAAGTGCGTACAAAATATAAAGAATTTTAAGATTCTATCTTTTCCTTCATCCGTGCTGTTTTATAAAAAAAAAGGAAAAGAAAATATAATCTACTTTTCTTCACACTAGCTGATCCCACAACATTTTTTTTTCTCGATACATTACATTCCGATCTAATACTTAATCTTGAAAATGACCACAGAGTGTCGAAGAGTTGATTCGCTAAGAATATCTGATGCCATGAAAGACCTCTTTCTTTAAAACGAGACTTACAATATTTAAAGCAAAACAATCAGTGGAGTTGTTCTATGCTTCAATCATCGAGATCCAATCTGCAATTAACAGTAATATTTTATTTCATCAAATAAACCACAGTGCCTTAAGAGGCAAGCAAAAATTATTTGAGGAATTGTGCCTTAACCCTGGCAGAAGCTATTGCTCAATGAAGCCGAAGAAAACAAAAATTTTCGTTGGTTTGCCTCCACATGACAAGAGGGGATTGGTAGATATCAACAAGCATGAATACACATTACCTTATGTAAATTTCATCTCCATTTGATAGAATCTTAAAAGTCTCAATCGATACTGGTGCTTATTTACCATTCATAATCCCAGAATATGTAGGTCCCAAAGAATGTGAAACTTACAGCCCAATCACGTTTGCTACGATTTTGAATCAAAACTCATTACATAAAAAGGCCACACTTTTCTTTTCATAATATAATACGCAAGGAGAAATGGAACTTTTTATTTTTAAATTCGATAATTATTGTGACGCACTGGTAGGACTCAACATTCTCTATGAATTAAAGTCCATAATAGACTTGAATAACAATATTCTTATAATCAGTAATATAGAAATACCACGCTATTTGAAACCTAACCTAACTTCAAGAAAACTATTGACTCCCGCGCCTTCTAAAGCTGTTATAAAAATTCCTGTAGACACTTGGCATGGCGACTTTTTCTATCAGGAAACGTTTATCCAACGTATTTATTGAACAAAACGTTGGTATAGTACCGTAGAAATAACTAACGATTCGAACGAAAAAAAACTGTTTGCATCGAATAACCTATTAAAATAACTACTACATAACACAAATATATTCTAGAAGTTAATAATTTCAGTATAGACACTAATATCTTTTTAAATACAAGCAACATTACTAACTAGGGACAACAGAACATTTATATGATGAAAAGAAAACATTTTTGCTCAAACTTTATAGAAAATTCGAACAAATTTTCTTTAAAGAAGGTGATATACTTGCCTTTTCCGTATTTACACCAATTTGTATCGATGTCTATATGTCCACAAGCAAGAGGTGCGAGGACGGATAGATAAAATGTTGGAACAAGGATTTATAACACTAAGCTTCTTACCATGGAGCGCTCCCATTTGGATAGTCTCAAAAAAGAAGAGCTCAACCAACGTACAGAAATGTTGATTAGTAATAGATATTATATAATAAATTAAACGAGAAAACAATTTGGGATAAATACTCTATGCCCTATATAACTGGAATACTGGACAAACATGGCAAAGGTATGCCTTTCTCCGCAATGGACTTCGCCAGTGGTTTCCACCAAATCGAAATGCACTTAAAAGACGTCAAGAAGCCATAGAAGGTGGTCACCTCGTATTCAGAAAGTCCTTCGGTCAAAAAAACGCGCCATCCACTTTCCGAAGAGTTATGTATACGCGAGCTAACAGGAATAGTCAGTCTATCTGGTATATTTAGACGATCAGTCTCCTCCACTTCATTGCAAGAACACATAATAAATTTAAAACAGGTATTTAAAAAAATAAGAGAATCAAATGAAAAATCCAAAGGGATAAGCCTGAATTCTAAAACACTTCAGATCCAACATTTTTGGCCAAAAATTTAAAATCATAACTGACTACAAATCACTTACCTGGATAATGAGCTTAAAAGAACCAAACTCAGAATTAATCAGGTGGAGACTCGAGTTGAAAGAGTTCCATTACCAAATCGTTTAAAAAAAAAGGAAAGCTCGACACCAAATGCGTTGAGCAGAACAAAAATAGAAAACCGCAACCCAACTCAAGATATAGACATAAATGTAAACAAAGTCGACAATCTTTCAATCAGCGAAACAGCAGAGACAACAATCCAATCCGTCGAAGAAGACAGCAGCGATGGAATTTAACAAACCTATAATGACGGACATTTTCAAAAATGTCTTATCCCTAATAAAATATCCGCATTAATGGCAGACGATGACACAAAATAGTGCAAAATACTTATTCAAAACAGTTCAAGCGAAACAAACTACTCAAACTCATACGCTGAAAAACCAAATCAACGGTACTCAGAATGAATTAACAAACAATTACCGCATCATGCATAATTACAGAGGCATACAAGAAACTTTGGAATATCTAAAACGTAAGTATAACTTTCCTAACATGAAAAGCCTGTCAGTGCCTGCCAAACCTTAAAGTACGACAGAAGACCGCGTAAACGATCACGGAACCTGAAACGCCAACGCAACCATTAGATATTGTGCGTATAGACGTATATTGTATAAAAAGACCTAATTGATAAATTCTCTAAATTTTCAGCAGCTTATTTACTAGAATCTAGGGCCAGCCCTTTGATTTTGAAAACATTTTGTAGGCCTGTATTGTAATCCCAAAAAATTAGTATACAAGAACTCAGGCTCACCTTTCGACCAAGAAGGAATGCGCTTCGAACTAATATTAGCTTACAACAACCTTGTCCACACTGCAAAACATTACCTCCTTTTGAAATATTCTTCGGAAAAACACCTACATTTAGGAAAAATCTACATTATAACAAAGAACATAAATACCTACAAAAGTTAAATAACTTTCGAAACCAACCGATAATAGAAAACAAGAGCATTTACAGAAAGTATTGTAGAAGAAACAAATTCACACCCGCGGACGGATTTGTTATTAGTAAGGAAGCAAAACGCTGCTTTACATCATAAAAACTAAAAATCTAAAATTCAGAACATTAACAACAAAATTGATTCTCCGAACACCCACAATTAGAAAAAACAGGGGCTTAGCAACACCTTAGGGCCGACCAAATTTATACGGGTACAGACGCTGAGAGCATTACTAAAAAAATAAATGACCTAATGAACTAGAATAAAAATACTAACACCACACCGAAATCAAATCATGCTCAACACAAATATAATCAGTAGATGCAAGAATATAATAAAACATAGTAATACAGACCATGAGATCATCGTAAAACCCATTCAGAACAAATCCGAAACTAACTCAACCCCGCGCTCAACAATCATGCCAATCCAACAACTTTACGAAATAAATTACAATATTGATACATTAACACAACAACTAAGCAACTTGGTAGGAGCATTAATACTGGCCAAACTCAACATCAATCCTAAACTAATACGAGATCCATCAAAACTAACACAAATACAGAATACATTGAACAATACAATTAACTTACTTTCTGGAGAGAACACAAACGAATTACTACAACTAACAGACTTTTACAATAAAGCAAACATTATATTCGATATACAAATGCCAATAACACTCGCTAAAATTTTTTCCTATATCATCTAAAGGCTTTCAACGAAGACATTAGAAATTTTAACAAAAAAATGTAAACAAACTATTTCTGTTACTTCGGAACTACTAATAGGAAAAGTATATTCGTGTAAAACTCCACATAAAAATGGCCTTAACTATCAGTGTATTAAAGACATATTTAATAATAAAAGCCTTCTGTCAACTGCAGGACGACGGAAAAACAACGAAACGGAAGAAGTCGACGTACTCCTTATCAACCTGCCCTCAAATCAGATCTCGGCAGTTTGTAATAACATTATAGAACATACTTACATCCCTAGCCCAGAATATCAGAAATATCAATGGTATCAATCTGGTACTTCAGACTACCCGATATTTACTGGGATAAGGGAAAGTTCTTAAAAGCTCCACCTAAAGACGGAAGTAATATTGTATCGATCTCGAGAAAGAAGGTGACAACCCTCCTAAATTTAAATACATATCAGTTCCGAAACACAGGACTCCTTGACGAACTGTAAATCATTTGGAGCAGTAACCATTTTAGTTCCGGCAAAAATTAACGTCCGCGCATATAGGTGTAGAGGGCTTCTGCTGGTCTGTTTTTGCAATTGTTCTTCACAAAAGAGACTTTCTTGAACATTTTCTGTTGACATATAAGTAGACAATTTAAATTTGTTGCA